GGGGGAGAGCAGGGATAAGAACCCAGGTCTCGGGCGGCGCCGTGGCTCACTAGGCTAATCCTCTGCCTGCAGCACTGGCACTCTGGGTTCTAGTCCTGGTTGGGGCGCCGGATTCTGTCCCAGCTGCTCCTCTTCCAGTCCAGCTCTCTGCTGTGGCCTGGGAAGGCAGTGGAGGATGGCCCAAGTATTTGGGCCCTGTACCCGCATGGGAGACCAGGAGGAAGCACCTGGCTCCTGGCTTCGGATTGGCACAGTGCGCCGGCCATATGGCCGTTTGGGGGGTGAACCAATGGAAGGAAGACCTTTCTCTCTGTCTCTCTCTCTCACTGTCTAACTCTGCCTGTCAAAAAAAAAAAAAAGTAAATAAAAAAAGGGCGGCGCCGCGGCTCACTAGGCTAATCCTCCGCCTAGCGGCGCCGGCACACCGGGTTCTAGTCCCGGTTGGGGCGCTGGATTCTGTCGCGGGTTGCCCCTCTTCCAGGCCAGCTCTCTGCTGTGGCCCGGGAGTGCAGTGGAGGATGGCCCAGGTGCTTGGGCCCTGCACCCCATGGGAGACCAGGAGAAGCACCTGGCTCCTGCCTTCGGATCAGCGCGGTGCGCCAGCTGCAGCGCGCTGGCCGCGGCGGCCATTGGAGGGTGAACCAACGGCAAAGGAAGACCTTTCTCTCTGTCTCTCTCTCTCACTGTCCACTCTGCCTGTCAAAAAATTAAAGCATCTGGCACTATGGCTGCTGCCGGTGGTAAGGGACTGGTTGAATAAAATTATTGAACACAGTTGGCCACGCAACTGGTCACACAGTACACACACGTACACGCACAAGAACACACACCTATACTCACCATCGCTGGTCCCAGCTGCAGCACTCAGTGAGTCCATGCTCTTGGCTGGCCTCAGGGTCCCCTTACTGGACTTGTCCTCTGCAAGACAGGGATGTGTAGTGGAGCCAGGGCACTGCACCCCCTCAGCAAAGCTCCCCCATTTCCCTAGACTTACCCCTGTCCTCAGCACCCCGTGGAAATTTACGCTTTGTCTCATGGCCCGAGCGACCAAGATTAAAGATAGACCTCCACTTTCTGACCTTCAAAGACCCTTTCCTCCTGCAGGGGATAGAGAAATAATTGGAGCCTGGAGGCTGGTGGTCAGTGCAGGCAAGGAGAGTATGGGGAGGGGCCTTACTTGTGCTCCGCAATCTCAATGATAGTGTGGTAGGGCCGCATCTGTGGGGGTCCATCCCCAGCCTGCAGGATGCTAGGCAGGTGGTAGGGCAGGGACCTGGGCATGAGGTCCTCAGGGTTACTCGACACTCGGGCACCTGGAAGTGATCTCCAGCCACTGTTCACCTCGTCACCTGGGGAAAGAAAAGGAATTGGCCAGCCAAGAACAGAGCCAAAGAGAACTTTG